GAGACGTTGCGGTCCCCTACTTTCTCCTTCAATATTTATTGTTTGTCATCTTCCCCACCATTTTGATTCATTTATTAAGAGGTCACTTTGTTAAATTTGTTGCTAGAACCCATCATGGAGCTGCATTTACCGATCACTTTTCACTCAAAGATATAGCTAAAGTTAGGTGAAGTTTGAGAAAATTATTGAACCAGAGTTTATAATCTAGCGGGCGGTAAACAAATACCCATTTAGATTAGCGATAAACAAATACGATTTTATAATGTAAATGCCATACAATGATTATTTTCATGGTAATGAAATCATTCAGACTGGGTTTAGATGGTGCATATCCAAAGTTTATTATTTATTCTTTTTTAAATAATTAACTTACTGTTTATAAAGCAACATACTAACTGTTAAAAATTATCTTTATTTGAATTTTATATATAAAAAAATGATTAAAATATAATAATAAAATAATATTAAATATGGAGAATTCAACCTTAATTTGGGCAAGAATGCAAGATGGTCAAGACAGAGAAGAACGTTACAAACTGTTAGTATTTTTCAGTTACATGAATATCAAAAGGAGATAGAGAGATAGAAAGATATGGATTCTACCATGCAAAAGGGAAGAAAAATGTATTCAAGAAATAACCTAAAATTTGTTGCTTTTGTTGTATCATCATAATGAATTGATCCTAAGGAAACAATATATTGATGGCTGGTGGAACCGAGGAATTTAACAGTTTAATCACAATCCTTGAAGTGGATACATGAATTAAGAGCGTGACAAGGATATCAGGAAATTCAGATGAGGAAACGAAAAATTGATTAATTCCTCCGGCTTTGCCAAAAAAATAAATAAATAGAATTGCTTCTTCTATCTTTTTGTTTTTAATTACTGCGGAAGCAAAAGGACAAATTCCTTGGAGAATCAATCGCTTGTTTAATCTGTTGGGTGAACTAAACATACTTGTGTGAATACGTGAAAGTGGAATGCGAAAAGGGAGCAGTGGACTCAAACATTGAAATCTGGATGTGCATGTTAGGGGAAGCAAGTGGAGATTATTCAAATCAACGGATTAATTAGAGATGGGTGATTATCCCGGAGTGAAAAATTATGGAGCGCTATGATCATTTTGGGAGTAAGCTCAACAAATCCTTATGGGTGGTCAAGATCTAATGAAAATTTGAAAATACAAATAAAATAATAAAACCTAACATAAAGGGAAGGATGGGGTGGGATGGAAAATAAAAATGAAAAATGAAAATTCAGGAGGGATCACGTGCATGAATTGGAATGGGCCTGTATTATTATTATTATTAGTATTATAAATGGGATTTTCATGACACCAATTTCTTAAACTAATATGTTTCACCTCGATCCCTCTATTTTTATGCTATATTTTTATTATTTATTAACAATGTTGGATAATGTAGAATTTATTTTCCTTTTTTATTATATTCAATTTAAAAAATTATCCACTTTTTACCTTGGGAAATAATATTTTTACTCAGTTATTTGGTTTTAAAATATAATCGCATTAAAGATATACCTTTATCAAATAATTTGATTAAAAATTATTTGATGATATTGATATTAATATTAGGGAAAAAGACAGAAAAATGCACCTTTAACTTCAGAAGCCCAAAAACGTCCGCTGAGTTCAAGAAATCCCATTTTGGTACCATGACACCAAATTGGGATTATTATGTGAAAGGAAAAGACCAAATTACCCTTCATTTTAAATATTATTTTTAAAATATCACAGCCCCTACTAGCTGGCCGGTCACCGGACCTCCGGTGACGGCGGTCACCGAAGCTCCAGCAACCAGCCGACAATTGGTCACCGGAGCTCCGTCGGTCGGAATGTTTTTTTTTTTTTTGAAAATTTTTACAACTTCAATATAACGGTTAACAACTTTTGTAACACCATTAACAACTTCAATATAGCAATTAACAACAAGTTTTCTGGTAAATTCAACAAACTCCGGCGATCGGAAACAATTTTTTTGAAAATTTTTACAACTTCAATATAACCGTTAACAACTTTTGTAACGCCATTAACAACTTCAATATAACAATTAACAACAGCTTTTCTGGGAAATCAACAAACTCCGGCGATCGGAAACAATTTTTTTGAAAAATTTTACAACTTCAATATAACCGTTAACAACTTTTGTAACGCCATTAACAACTTCAATATAACAATTAACAGCAGGTTTTCTGGGAAATTCAACAAACTCCGGCGACCGGAAACAATTTTTTTGAAAATTTTTACAACTTCAATATAACAGTTAACAACTTTTGTAATTCTATTAACAACTTCAGTATAGCAATTAACAACAGCTTTTCTGGGAAATTCAACAAACTCTGACGACCGAAAACAATTTTTTTGAAAATTTTATAACTTCAGTATAACGGTCAACAACTTTTGTAACCCCATTAACAACTTCAATATAGCGGTTAACAACAGTTTTTCAGTTATATAATTTTTCAAAAAAATCTGTTGTTAACTGATATACTAAAGTTATTAATAGCGTTAGAAAAGTTGTTAACCGTTATACTGAAGTTGTAAAAATTTTCAAAAAAAATTATTTCCAGTCACCGGAGCTTGTTGAATTTCCCAGAAAACTTGTTGTTAATTGCTATATTGAAGTTGTTAATAGAATTATAAAAGTTGTTAACCGTTATATTGAAGTTGTAAAAATTTTCAACTTCAGTATAACGTTAACAATTACGTTTTTTTTTTTAAATTTTTACAACTCCAATATAACGGTTAACAACTTTGATATAGCAGTTAACAACAAGTTTTTAAATTCAAAAAGTGGCATTTTTATAACTTCAGTAATGCCTTTAACAAACTCAAAAACCTGTTGTTAACCGCTATACTAAAGTTGTTAATAGGGTTACAAAAGTTGTTAACCGTTATATTGAAGTTGTAAAAATTTTCATAAAAATTGTTTCCGGTCGCCGGAGTTTGTTGAATTTCCCAGAAAAGCTGTTGTTAATTGCTATACTGAAGTTGTTAATAGCATTACAAAAGTTGTTAACCGTTATATTGAAGTTGTAAAAATTTTCAACTTAAGTATAACGTTAACAATTACGTTTTTTTGAAAATTTTTACAACTTCAATATAACAGTTAACAACTTTGATATAGCAGTTAACAACAAGTTTTTCAAAAAATTCAAAAAGTGACATTTTTATAACTTCAGTAATGCTTTTAACAAACTCAAAAACCTGTTGTTAACCGTTATACTGAAGTTGTTAATAGGGTTACAAAAGTTGTTAACCGTTATATTGAAGTTGTAAAAATTTTCAAAAAAATTGTTTCCGGTCGCCGGAGTTTGTTGAATTTCCCAGAAAAGCTGTTGTTAATTGCTATACTGAAGTTGTTAATAGCATTACAAAAGTTGTTAACCGTTATATTGAAGTTGTAAAAATTTTCAAAAAAATTGTTTCCGGTCGCCGGAGTTTGTTGAATTTCCCAAAAAAACTGTTATTAATTGCTATACTGAAATTGTTAATAGCATTACAAAAGTTGTTAACCGTTATATTGAAGTTGTAAAAATTTTCAAAAAAATTGTTTCCGGTCGCCGGAGTTTGTTGAATTTACCAGAAAACCTGTTGTTAATTGCTATATTGAAGTTGTTAATAGTTTTACAAAAGTTGTTAACCGTTATATTGAAGTTGTAAAAATTTAAAAAAAAAAAAAACATTCCGACCAACAGAGCTTCAGTGACCAATTGTCGGCTGGTCGCCGGAGCTCCGGTGACCGCTGCCGTCGGAGGTCCGATGACCGGCCGACCAGTAGGAGCTGTGATATTTTTAAAATAATATTTAAAATGAAGGGCAATTTGGTCTTTTCCTTTCACATAATAATCCCAATTTGGTGTCATGGTACCAAAATGGGATTTCTTGAATTCAGCGGATGTTTTTGGGCTTCTGAAATTAAAGGTGCATTTTTCTATCCTTTTCCCTTAATATTAATATGCTTTTTTCATCATAATATTTCATTTGATTTTAAACATAACATATTTTGAGATGAGGGTAAGGGTATATTTAATCATTCTGATATTTACTCATTTTATTTCCTTATAATTTTCTCTGGTCCATCCAAATGTAAGCAGTGAAGACAATTTTTTCCAGTTTTTTTAATCTATTTTTTTTCATTTTCTTTTTTTTTCCCTTACTTTTTTCCCTCCGATACGGGCTTATCTTCTTCTTCTTCTTCTTCTTCTTTAGTGCTGTGGAAGCAAAATGACAGATTCGGTAGAGAATCCATCCGTTGTTTAATCAGTGGGTAAGCATATTTACAATTACTTGTATCAATTCGCGAAAGTGGAAAATGGGAAATCGAAATCTAGAGCTGCAGTAGAGTTCTTTGCTCTATGGTGGTCGATTAATTTAATAATGTCCGTGCATGTGAGTGGGAGTAAGTGGAGATTATTCTAATGAACGGCTTAATCGGAGATTAACGATGATAATCTCTAAGTTAAAATGGAGGGCTAAGATCAATTGGAAATAATCCCGATACGTAGAAAACATGGAAGAAGCACAACAAAAAAGGAATCTTCCCTGTGCCGTAAGCATGCTAAAAGCTTTGAACTTACACACACACACAAGCAGAAGTTTAGATGATTTGGAATGAACAGAGGATGGGTTTAGTGAAAGGGGTTAGTTCCTCACTACGTGACTTATCAAGATTCGAATTCTCACGGAAAGAAATGTCCACATTTAGTATTTGAAAGTGCCTCATATAAGATAGCCTTCAATGGGAGAATATCTATGCTTAGCAAAAAGTTTGAATTGAGTCTCGGAGGTACAAAATTGAGGCATTAGCGCCAGATAAAATTGAGGTGTGCGTAGGGACAAAATCCAGTCCCGCAAAGGGCAGAGGATTTTTCGGATCACCATCCACTTGAACAAGATTATTATTCACTAAAATCATGTGAGTACAGATAAAAATTTGAAGCAAGTTGCACGCGTTGGTGCATTTGTTTAAATGACTACCTTGTCCCATTTTGATTTTTTGTTCAGTCTACCATCACGATTAGCGGCCTCAACAGTAGGAGGCATCAAAGGCAAGCCACGTGTAGAGAGAAGAGAGAAAATCAACATAAAATAGAAAATGAGTAGTAAGAATGACCTTTGCCATACCATAGGTAAGCTAGGTTGCTTTTTAACCTGCAACGGGTACACTAATCCTTAGAGCACCAGTTATAATTATTGGTTGTGCTCCCCCAGAGGCAAATTCAACTTTCCGTGCTTGCTCCTTCTCCTGCACTTTCCTATTATTTTCACATCTCATATTTGCCTCTGTTTGTGACAGTTAGGGGACATGCAAAAGAGGAGTCATATCAGCAAAAATAAATCAACAGAAACAATCAAAAAAGAATAATAAACCCTAAAATTCATCAATAATTTATTGATGATTGCAGAACCATTCTAAAGGAATTTACTTGTATGTCTTCAGAGCATTTAATTTTGGGCAGTGGTAGGAGAAATCTATCCAATGGATCTGCAAATTTGTGCTCTTCCTGAGCTCCTTCTCCCTGTTCTGCATCATCTGATTAGGCCACAACATCAACTTACATAGTATGAGATGGCGCAGAAAACTGGGGAGTGTTGAACACGTCCTGATGATCCTCCATCTAGCAAATCACCTACAAAACCATATTCTAGAAAGTTAATTTACGCCCCCGGGGGAACAGTAGACCAAGAGTTAAAATGATAATCACAAAAAAAAGAAAAATAAAACAATATGAAAGTACAAATTCTTTAGCAATGGTGATTAGTGACCCAATCTATAAAATCTAACTTCCTATTTTGAAGAATTTGTTGAAGAAATTGAATACCGTGCTGGAAAATGGAAAAGGGAGTTAATTTTAATTTGCAAGTCTATTGATAAAAGGAAAGGAAAGGTAAAAACCAATATTCAAACAACATTCAAACCTTCAAATACGTGGAATGTATACACCATGACTTGCAACTGCATACAGCATGTTAGCATAAAGAACAAATGCTAATCACTTAATCAGCTTATCCCACAAGCACGCAGAGGCTGATGTTCAAACAACTTAGCCAGCTCTTCACTTAATTGCATTGATTTTAAAGTTAATAGCACAAGCCTGGAGTGAAACAACCTTCCTAAATAAACAGATAAACCTATTTTTTTTATAGTAACTTGAAGAAATAACTTTTTATAACCAAACCATGCTAAATACAAACTCAAATTATATCACAATCATCTACACTAACTGATTATATAATATTGTTATTCGTGATAGAAAAAAGCAGCACCTAATCATACATCCTATCACGGATAAAAGAACTTTTCTTAACTCATTTAAATACAAACTATATAAGAAAGGATCAATCTTATCTAATATGGTTATAAAACAACATATAATATAGCTCATAAATCAAAATATTAAAAATTAAATCTTAACTCATACTTTATAATAAATTCATAAATAAATCGCATGCGAATATGCAATCCTAAGCCTCTGGCCACCTATCAGCACACATACCACAATAGTACACTCAAAGGACATAAGAAATAATAATGCATGAATAAATTAAAACCAATTTATCCTAAGGTGGCAATGTACAGGATACAACATAGCTCATAAATCGAGGAGACGCTACAAGTTACTAATGTAGCTTTACTCCTCCTGAGCCTTCCCTGACATCCCTCTTTTAAAGCTTTCACCTGAAAAATGTTAAATAATAGGGATGAGACAACGTCTCAGTAACTAAATCCCTACCTATTACACACCCTAGCATGGCTAGCGAGGTGTCAGGTGGGATACACAGAGTTAATAATAATTGATAAACATTTATTTAACATTTAAACTCACAATAATCATATAAGCAAATATTTCCACCACTCTCATGCAATTGATACATTTCAAAAGAAATAACATACTTATCATTTATTTAACAGATATAAATATCAATGAATATCCCATGTCATATGTAATTTCTGAATCCAAATCCATCCTTATATCCTCCTTATTTCCGTCGACTGGACCCATGGGCTAAGTTCTTTCCATTTGACTGGCTACTCTGACAAGCTCACCACTCGAGTGATATGGACCGGCCAAAGACCACAGAGCACTCGGTGGACCATGGGTCCCCCCTCGAAGAACTAGTGGGGTGTCGCAGTCCCTCGAAAAACTAGTGGGACAATAATAGTGGCCAACCATAGAGCTCCGTATGGAGGCCGATACCACGTGGTAAGTATATAAATCTCAATAACTCCAATCATCTCCTTCCCCACCCAAAATAGATGCACAGGGTTCAAGATGACATATTTATATGCATAATCAACAGAATTTCATAATAACACATCATAATCATGATCACCAATTTCTTGCAATACAAACTATGTCAATCCTTTTTAAAATAGCATCCCACAAGACAGTTCATACAAAACGTAATATACTTTTATAGAATTAGTTATAAAGCCGCTCACCAACTTCATACTAGAGCACGCAACAAATAGAAATTTAGTTACCTGGTCTCCTAGCTAACAGTCAACTACAACCAGAGTCCAACCTCGAAAATGCCACAATAGAGTTTATATCTACAAACAAAATTAAAATATTATCTCTATAGTATTAGAGTAGGCTACTCACAAAATTCTAGCCTCTAACTCCTTCTCTAAAAGCTTTAATTTTACTCAGAACTCTAGCCTAAGAGACATTTCTCTACGGTTTGGAATGAGAACACACACACACATATATATGATTTAGACTCGATTCCTGAATTTTCCCTTACTTAAATATCCTTTAATTACTAGATTATATTATTAGAATCATCAAATTCATAATGCAAATTGACAAACTATAAATTGATAACTTATATTCCATCTTCGAATCGAAGGACTTAGACAAATAGACTTAGTACGAACCAGGTTATTCTCACTACAGAAGTTAAACCCTTAATCTAACCGTTGAATTTAATTTCCTATCTATCATGATACTATCCTCCAAATTGTAGCTCAATCTAACGGTGAATGAACTTTAAAATGCTAATTTACTATTCATGACTCTATATGCTAAATCCAAAAGATATAAGTTAAAAACGTACCTAATAACTTGTAACTCGGAGATCAAAATGATAATCTAACCGTTGAAATTAACGATTTGGATGTCCCAAATGGGATGACCAAATTTCAGTCCGATCCAACGGTTAATAAACTCAAAACTAGCACTTTTCTGAGACTACCTCAGATATGTGTGAAAATTATTTACTCACTTCAAGCTCCACTCACTATCTCCTATATATAGGCTCCTCAAACTCCTTCACTCTAAAAATTAGTCGATGTGGGACTTCTTAACATTGCTAGTTTATCCACTTCCTATCATTTAATCAATGTGGGACTTCTTAACATCGCTATTTTATTCATTTTCTCATACACACACACACATAAAATCAGAATTATTTTAATTACATATATGTATATTTAACCTCTACCTATTCTATAAAAATTTGTTTAAATATTAGATATATGAAAATTGCAATGTTACATGGAGCCTTTAGCCGTGTGGCCACGATCTTGTTTAAGAATGGATGAGAATTTCAGATACCACTGCTTAAGTTCCTTGTTCAACTTTGATAATATACAGTATGCTTAATTTTTATAGACTGAGATTTCAACAAGCAAGGACATCAAATTTCAAAATGTTGCCGACACAATAACATCCGAAAATACAGTTTAAAGTTCAAACTGTTCAAAAGCACATTGTTCCACTAAATTGGATGAGAAGAATAAAACGGTCAAACAAGTGCTGGCTCTCTCAATTTATGAACACAAAGCTCTATGTATTTTGACCGAGCATGGAAGACCCAAGACTTAGGCCCAAAAATGAAGTAGTTGTCCCAAGTCTTTTAAAGCAAACAGAGTATTGAGTGGGTTGATGATTAAATTCAGTAGCCTTGATGAATCTCCAGTCACAATAATGCCATCTACGTGGATATAAGGATATGCTTTATTCAGCAAACAAATAAAATGAGGAAATTGTGAACTCAAATCCCTCTGGTTGCCTCATCAAGACACGTTTTTGTGGAACTCTGTTTAAGAAGGCATTGTTAATATCCGTCTGCCAAATTTGCCATCCAAATGTAACATCAATGGCAAGCACAACCTTAGTGAAGATGCTTTCAAGACTGGGCTAAATGTTTCATCAAATGCAACTACATTGCTTTGTCCTGATTATGATACAAGTAACCGTGTTTTGTTTTTGTGGTTTTTGTTTTTATTAGAGCATTATATTCGGCCTCTTTCTTGGGTTGTCTCCACTCATCTGACTTGAGAGCTTCTTAAATGCTGTGTAGCTCTTTAGATTTATCTATTTCACCAACGATGTATATTTTCTGCTGGTTGTTGAGGACTTTGATCGGCATTATTTAAATTTACTGCATTGAAGATGAGACGGCATCAACACCGGAGTGACCATTTTAATTTCGTCATCGTTGTATGGGCTATTGAATTCTTCATTTGTGGGGCAAAGACGAAGTAAATGGCTTGAGAAACACCTTTAGATGAACCAGTTCATCAGGGATAGTTATTTTTGGTTGTATAGTTAAAAACCAACGAAACGAAAAATTGATTATTTAATTTTTATACTTATGCCAATGCCATCATTATTAATATTCTTCCAAAATTGCTTTTTCAGAATCTTACCAATTATTATTAAGATTTGGTGGCTTTGCAGGATTTTATGAGTTTATAGAATACTGAATATCATGTTCAGGTTTCGCTAAAGCACTTTTGTCTTTTCTTAAACTAGATGTGTAATCTGCCATATTGTTTTTGTTTGTTAATAATTCCATTTCAAAATTTTTTCTAGGATCGACAAGAGCTTCATATACAAAGATTAATCCATCGCAGTCAATGACATCAGAAAGAATTAGCATATGGATAGAAAATGATGCCGTCTATATATTGTTTCAGAAATGAAGGTCACAATCGTAATTTAAATCACAAAGCCATTGAACTGTTTACCATTTGCTGTAATGTCTTCCACGAAGGATAAGAAAAAGTTACAGTAACGGACTGATTTGGCGTGCTAAGTTTCACTTAAACTTCCCAACGCTCACCATGCTAACATGGAATTTGACAATAATTCTTACTTTTTTAGGTGATTTAATTTTTTTCCTAATCTAACATCGAATTTTACAATAATTCTTATTTTTTTAGGTAACTTAATTTTTTTCCTAATTTCAATCGGTTCAATTTTTTTTTCCTTCCCAATTTTCACAAAGATTTGAAAAAATAAATCATGGCGTGCTTACTCTGAA